CACTTAACAGTTTATGTATCTGTAAATAAATTAAAGGTACATAACATGTTAACTACATACACATCCAAATTCACCACGCATGGATCAGGTTCTTTTGGATGATAGTGGGTGGTGGGTCGGGGGTGAGTCTTAAAAAATTAAACCCGTTATGGATCGGGTTGAATTTGAGTTTTATGTACAAACACACCTAGAACCTCACTCGACTCACCATGTATATATATAGTAAAATAAGTACTAGTTTGTAGTTAATTATAAAAGTTTCTAATAGTTTTATTAACTTTTTATTATTTGTAGTTCTAAACTAACAAGTTTATTTTTAAAAAAATTAACAATTTAGTTGTTATATTTGAATATTTTTATTATTTTATGTTTTAATATAATTAGTGAATTTTATTATGTGTAAGTAATTTAAATATTATTTTAAATTTTTTTTAATAAGATAATAAGTGATGGGTACTCATAGTGGGCACTCGCACTCAGTGGGGCTGGAGTGAATTTTGAAAAAGCTCACCCGATGCAAGTTGGGGGTTGGGTGGGTGGAAAAAATATAAGGTGAGTCAAGTGATGGATGTAGCTCTCCCCTACCCATTTTAATTTCATCCCTAATTATATATTCAACAAGTTTTCATGGGCAAATTATACAATGAACCAGATTATATATATTTTATACGTGCAGTTAACAGTTTATGAGCCTGTAAATAAATTAAAGGCGCATAACATGTTAACTACATACATAATATGTTAACGACAGATACATAATATGTTATCGGTAAATATATAATATTCTAACAACATATATACTATGTATCTGTAGTTAACATATTATGTATCTAGTTATCATGCTATGTGTCTGTAATTAACATATTATGTGCCTTAAATTTATTTACAAACACATAAACTATTAACTGTAGGTACAAAATATGTTAACTGCAGACACATACTTTTTGAACGAGGGTCCATAATGCAAGATGGACCTTTTAAGTTTTAATTGGTCTATAGTATAACAATGAGTTCTCATGTGCGGGGTTCAATATTTTGTATAAGATTTAGCTTTGATACTAAATTGATAGATTTATTGCTTATATAAACGATAGCTCAACACTACGAGATCTTTAGTACAATATATTCCTAAACAATTTTGGAGATGGACACTGCAGGCAGTAGAAGCAAGGCAAAGGCTTTTTGATGAGAAAGTGCAGCCCTAAAATGAGTTCCTTCAATATATGAGAGCTTTGAGCAGCCTGCAATTGGGTTCTTGGTATGGATTAAGCACTGTGTATTATATAACATTTTTGGTTCGTTCAAGTGGTTGGAACTTGGAACAGATGAGCATTATATATTGCTCGCCCGCCATAAATGCTTGTGGCCTATTTTGTTTGGTTAAATTAAGGGGGCGTTTGGTTCACGGAATCTTGGATTACCCCAGGTAATAGAATTACCTCCAGGAAAGTAATGTGAGATGTTGGGAATGTAAGATTACCTTGTGTGTTTGGTTTGGATGGTGTAATATAATATTACCTTGTTTGGTTCAAGGTTATATTTTAGGTTATATGAATCAATTTACAATAATGTCCTCAATAATATATATATATATATATATATATATATATATATAATGTGTGTGTATTTATTTATATGTATGAATGTATAGCAATGCTTAAATATTTTAAAAAATTAAATATATAAATATACACATGTATATTTGATTATATAAACATATATTATTATTATTATTATTATTATTATTATTATTATTATTATTATTATTATTATATAAGGATTAGCTAACAATGGCAAAGTTAGAATAATTCAAGGTAATCTAAGATTACCTAAAAAAAAATGGGGGTAATCACATTACCGCCACATAAGCTTTCAGGTAATATAACATTACCAGGTAATCTTATAACTTGAACCAAACAAGATAATATAACATTATCAGACTCAGATTACCTAGGTAATCTAAGATGACCTGAACCAAACGCCCCCTAATAGGGCGTTTGGTTGGAGGGATTTTAAATTACCTTCCCACTTAATTCCCACCTAATTCCAAAGGCCATTAAATTCCGTAGTTTGGTTGGAGGGAATTGCAATTCCATGGAATTGCAATTCCCCCATTTTTATGGAATTAAAATCCCATGTCCCCCCCTGGTATTTTAATTCCTGGGAAAAAAAGATAGTGATGAGTCAAAATTACCCCTTCCTTTTTTAACCTAAAATTAATGTCTAACAACAATAATGGACATTTTTGACTTTATACTACTTATTCCCTTTCAATTCCCATGTATACCAAACATTGGAATTGAAATTCCCAGTAATTCTATTCCTGTCAACCAAACACTGAAATTTAAATTCCCACTTTATTCCCAGTAATTCAACTTCCATGGTATTACAATTCATTTCCCACATAATTCCCGCCCTCCAACCAAACGCCCTGTAAGAGTATTCAATATTAACATTCTTTCCAAACTTTACTTTTATTATCAGCTGTTTAATATTAACATGTTTGATTGTAAATGTTGAAACTGACTAGGAATGGTGTCTTAAAAAAAATAAAAAATAAAAAATAAAATAAAAAAAATCTATAAGTAGTCAACATTGGTTCTATCCAATACTAATTATCAAAATCCTTCTAAGTCTTCTCCTAAAAGGTTGAATCCTCAATCCTGACCCGACAGAACATTTGAGAAAATGTAAATTATGATGTCTTTTATCTCAAATACTGTCTACTAAACCAATAAGTTAACCCCGTGCAGACAAAATCCTTCTAAGTCTAGTCTTATGTAACATGGTGATTCAATTAATCAGAACTAAGCAAGCAATTTAACTAACAAGAAAGAAACAACAATGATGAGAAAATAGAGATTGAATCCAAATGCAAAGTTTATTTAGTAGCTACACTCATGATTTAGAGAAAATAGGGATTTAATCCAAGCGCGATGTTTATTTAGATTTTTTTTTTTTTTTTTGGTACTATTGATTCTATTACAATATATAGTATCACTAGGGTTTGAACCATGACCTCCCATTTTGGAGAGTCACAAAGTTGTTATTGAGTTACAAACTATTTGATGGTTTATTTAGAATCTAGTTAGTCTTTCATCAATACCTAAATGTGAAATTATTGTTTTTTAATGTTGTTACCAGTACTCTTGTGATCAATCATACTTAATTATTAAATCAAATCAATTCTTACTCATGTATTGACATATACAATTAATCATTTAAACTTTAATAATTTGGTATTTAAAAATCTCTCTCTCGTGGTATTCTCATGTATTATTTTTGTCATATCTGATGCAAGACTTTCATTTTTTCCCCCTCATATTTGATCTTTTTAATCAAACTTTTGTTAGAAAACCATCAAAATGTATAACATTTCTACTTCAAATTATACTCAAAAGCATTATTGCAAAAATTGACCTAAGCGACCGCCCCTATGCCGTGACGATTTTCCCCCTAGGCGGTCGGCCGCCTAGACGCATAACTAGACCGACTCTGCCTCACTCTCTCTCTCTCTCTCTCTCTCTCTATATATATATATATATATATATATATATACTAGTATTTTCATATGCGCGATGCGCAAAAATTAGGTGTCCAATATTATTATTTTATATTAAAATTTTTTATATTTAAATTACTATAAATAATAATAATAATAATAATAACAATAATAATAATAATAATAATGTAAACATTTTTATACATTTGATATTTATATTGTATAAAATAACTCCAAATTAGAATGTATAAATATTATTATTATTATTAAAGAAGATAAGAAAATATATGGTGGATGCATGTGCATAGTAACAATAGTGGAAAAGATAACGGAAGTTATAACGGTAGGAGTATATTTGTCCAAAATATTATAAAGTACAACCTTTATAGCATAATGTATAAAAAAACTTAACGGAAAAAACGGACATAAATGAAGAGTATAACATTCATTCACACTTATTATGTTTATATATATATATATATATATATATATATATATATATATATATATATATATATGACATACACCCACATACATGTACTGTTTTTATTTTTGTTTAGTTAGTCGCTTAGCTCGTAACGCCTACTGTAACCATGCTCAAAAGCATTCAAAAGTTCAAGTTATTAGTATAATTTTGAGTTTAAAATGTGATAAATTGTACTAGTTGTTTTCTATCAAAATTTAAATTTGACAAAGTGAAAATATTTACTAGATATGGCAAAAGTAACATGAAAATAACTTAATAATAACAATAAGATAAAAAAAAAATGGAAACAATACTAAAAATTTTTGCAAATAAACAATTCATATTTAAATAACTCATAATAAAAATAAGTTAACATAAATCGCAAGATATACTTTTTAAAAAGAGTTAATTATCAAAATGTCCATGAATTATAACAAAATTACTAATTTGGTCTTTATTATTATTATTTTTTTTTAGCATAATTAAGTCTTCAGCTTTAAAAATTTTAACCATTTTAGTTCTCTGTTTGTTTAGCCGTCGGATGCCGTTTAACTCGAGGGCATTGCTTGAATTTCATGTTGCTTCCTGGGCTGCTCAGGACCAAATTAATAATTTTGCTATAGTCAATGTATCATTTTTGTGATTAACTCTTCTGTTTAATAAGAGCGAAAATGGTAGATATGATGTGAAGTTCCAGTTCCAGCGATACCCTCAAATTAAACAGATTTTTAATGTTGACTCAACGGAAGACAAAATTAGTTAAAATTTTAAAAGTTGAGAATTTTATTATTCAAAAAAAAAAAAAAGTAATCAATGACCAAATAAATAATTTCACTATGATTAAAATGACCATTTCGATAATCAAGTCTTTATAGAATCTATATTAATAGTAGACTCTTCGGTCGCTCTCATAGTCTCATAGAGTCATAGCGGTCTCAAACGCAGGAGGAATGTATTGCATTGCTATTCGCTAAAAAGCAAAACACCGCACAAAGAGGTTAGTAAAAGCAAAACACTAAAATAAGACTGTAAAGTAAGACTACTAAATAGAAGATTGATTTTGAACACTTGGAGACAATAATTGAAAATTCTCAAAGTTTAAGAGCAAATCTCTTCTCTTATAATTACAGCACAAAAAGACAGCTCTCCGCCAGCGCAAAACAACCATAACATCGCCGACGACGGTGAGGAGGACGCCGACGACGGTGATAATGATTGCACTCCTTTTCGTTTTCCATTTTTAGCAGTAGCATTGGTTTCGCAATCATTACGGTTTGTTTTACCTTTTTCTTCTTCTTCTTTCTCAAATTTTCTAGTTTAAGTTCGGTCGCGGGGGGTTTTAGGGTTTGGTTGAGGGAGGAGGCAGTGTAGGAGTAGAAGGAGGATGGCGGAGGTTATTCTCCACATCTACGATGTGACGAACAGTGCCTCCGACAAGACCAACTCCACCATTCTTCAGATCAACAGGATTTTCAAAGACGGCATCGGTCTCGGCGGCATCTTTCACAGCGCTGTCCAGGTACATCGTCTTTCGTATGCTTGTTTTTGTTTGGTTACATGTATTTTCCATAGTGTTGGATTGGTAGTTTAAACTTAAACTTGCGGAATTAGATCTAGGCTCCTTAGCTTGTATCGGTTGAGGTGTGGATTTCTTACTCTGCTCAAACATTTCTGAATCTAGTCTCGTCAGGCTTCAGTAGATTGATGCTTTGTGTTTTGCAGCAGTTATTTACCAGCTGGGAGTTATAGTTGCTGCTCTTATTGGGTGCCCTGTTGTGTTTATATCTTGTTAGTTAGTTTTCAGATGCAATTGTGTGGTTGATTTACTGAATTGAATAAGCTTTTCTCTCATGCCAAACTTTAGAACTCTAGGCATTTCTAGGTACAGTCTATGGTGTGCTTGGAGAACCAATGAGGAAGATTTTGGAATTGATATTTTGGCACCCATATTCAACTTCTGGCTTAGGAGCATATTTTGCGAATCTGTTCCCCCATTTTCTTTTGCACAAACCAAAAATGCCTGTTTAAGTTGTAACTTGCTGTTACTGTAACAACTTTTAAATCTTAAAAATGCCTGTTGAAGTTGTAACTTGCTTCTGCATGTATGTAGATAGTTGTCTCGGAAAGTTTTATTCGAAGTTGGTAGGTCTGAAATTGGATGAAATACTCTTACAAATTCCCTTCCCTTTTTCTTTAGCATTCAACCCCATATCCATAGCCTCTCCAAATTCCATTTCAACATCATCTTGAAACATTTCTTCATCAATTTCAAGATGAAAATTTTGATTGATTTGATCTTTTTAGTTTTCTTATTGTCTACAAATTTCTTAATCAATTTTCTAACACGTTCAGCATACTTTGTACGTACCTTTACATTAGCAACTCCCCCTGTCGTTTCCTCTATTTGTCACATGTCTGCATACTTAACACGGTTGTTGTCATTGGATAACACGTGTTCCATGGTCCCATATCGAATCTTGATTTTTGAATGAGAATCCACCCCCTCTTTCCTCTTTTTGCCACGTCTGCATACTTCACACAGGTGTTGTCATTGGATACAACACGTGTTCCATGGTCCCATATCGGATCTTGATGTTTTGAATGAGAATCCACCCCCCACTTTCCTCTATTTGTCACATGTCTGCATACATCACACGGGTGTTTTCATTGGACACAACACGTGTTCCATGGTCCCATATCGGATCTTGATTTTTGGAATGAGAATCCACCCCCTCTTTTCTCTATTTGCCACATGTCTGCATACTTCGCACGGGTGTTGTTATTGGATGCAACACGTGTTACATGGTCCCATATTGGATCTTGGTTTTTTGAATGAGAATCCGCTCCCCTCTTTCTTGTATTTGTCACATGTCTGCATACTTCACACGGGTGTTGTCATTGGATACAACACGTGTTCCATGGTCCCATATCGGATCTTGATTTTTTTAATGAGAATCCACCCCCCACCCCACAACACGTGTTCCATGGTCCCATATCGGATCTTGATTTTTTGAATGAGAACTAGGAATCTTTTCTAAAATAATATATTCAATACAATAATTAAATCATCACGTACATTCTTTACTTAAAAAAATGGTTGATTTAATGAAAACTAAGAATTCTTAGTATTTAAAAAAAAAAACTGCCTGCCCATTGCCCACTCTTTGTGCATCACTTTTTGACCACGAAGAGTGGGCAAAGTGCAGACTAAACAGAGATGGAAGATCTTCAATTCTTCACTGAAAATAAAAATAAAAATAAAAAGAAAATTAAAACATCGACACATAACATCAAATCGACCAGGAATAGACTTCTGATAACATATCTCTTAGAGGAGGAGAGTTGCCAGAATCTATGGAGTAGTTGTTTGTGGAGGTATTTAGGACCGAATCTTGCTATTTGGGACAGGTAAACTCATTAAAACCTTAAAATTTCCTCAAGGGCTGCTTTGAATCGGCATCGTGTATAAAAGAGTGCTTCTCGCTCGATTTGTGCAATTGTGCTTCTATCGCTTCAATCTGAAGCTATTGCTTTTCCGCACTTCTATATGTTTTGTCGATTTGATGAATCAATGTGATAGACCATCGATCACGGTTGCTTCATTGCTTAAACATGAAACGATCTCTTTTGACAAGTGAGTTTTTAAGCTACATGTCTCCATGTTTTTTTTTTCATCCCTTTCTTTGCCCGCTTCTCTTCTGTCTTTCTTCTAGTGTTTCATGTGTAACAAGCTGTGTGAGAAAGCACAGAGCTATATTGCAGTCAGAAAATTTCTGTTTTGTGTTCTATGGAGCCATCAGGTTCATAGAGTACTTTTACTACATTCCTCTGTTCTGATGGCATTTTCCCTTTTTTCGTAGAATGGTCATGCATCATCTCATTACTTGCTATTCTTTTCCACTCCATATCTGCTATATTAATAGGTAAGCTGTTTAATTGGATGTATTGTGTGCATAGGTTTATGGAGATGAGGAATGGTCATTTGGGTTTTGTGAACAAGGTACTGGTGTATTTAGCTGCCCTGCAGGACAGAATCCAATGTATTCATATCGTGAAAGCATCAATCTTGGACAAACAAACTATTCAATTTTCAAGGTGAATCAGATACTCAGAGAACTTAGTAGAGAGTGGCCAGGTTGCTCATATGATTTGTTGTCAAAGAACTGCAATCACTTTTGTGATGAGTTCTGTGAAAGACTAGGTGTGCCCAAGCTTCCAGGTAATTTCCCAATCTTCTCTCTCTCTCCCTCCTCTTCTTCCTTGTTAGACACTTAAATGTGCACTATTGTGTATCTTCCTTGACATTCTTATCCTCTCCAATATGTGAGTGCCCTCTTTCAGGCATTAATAAATGTCTGTGAAATTTTTTGTTTAGCACTGTGTGCAATGAGAGTATTCAAAGTATTTTTGCTGTCTGCTCCATTGCAATTGGTGTTGTTTGTACATAGTTATTGTTTGAATATGTGAAATGCAGCTCTTAATTTTTATGATTCTGATTTTTTTTCCATATACAAGGCTTTGAGATGCACTTCCATTTATATTAGGACGATGTTAATGTGTGTGGAAAATTTTATAGAGCACTGGGAGCATTCAAATGAGTTTTGCTTTCTGCTCCATTGCAATGAGTATTGTTTGAACATAGTTAGTTATTGTTTAAATATGTGAAATGCAGTTTTTACTTTTGATGATTCTAATCTTTTATTTCTCCATACATAATGCTTTGAGATGCACTTCCCTTTATATTACGACAATGTTAATATATACCTTCGTTCTGCATTTACTATTATTTTGGAAGAGTTTTTTTCACCCTATTTTGATGGCTTATTATTGAAGTGACACGATTTTGTAAAAGTTGGGGAGTACAAGTGGAAATGCCAATATAGTTGAGGGTGCCTAAAATGGAATAAACTCTATATTGGAAATTTGGAATGCAGTTTTCTGTTCTATTCTTCTATTCATTGAGTAATATATATTGTATATTGTATTGTACAAAATGATTTGTGACATGTTTCCTTTTAGGTTAGGATGATGTGAATATGAACCTCCTTTATTCTGCATTTAGTATTATTTTCCTTCAAATGGTTTTCTTCCTCGGAGAGTGGAACCATGGGTAATTAATACAAAGACTTTTTGGTTGATAACTTGAAAACGCTTGCTCAACTGTTAAGCTTCCATATTACTAACTAGTAGCTAGCATGTTACTCCCGTTATATTCTCGCATTAACTGATATTCATTTGAAGAAACTGAAGAATGAATCTTATTTTAAAATGAAAACTACAAGCATTATAAGTTAGTAAACTGATTTTATGTGACAGAGACTAGAACTTTACTTGAGTCCGGTTTTGTAGCAATTAGAAAATTTTGACAATTCTACGAGGAAGTGATGTGTCAGATTGTTGTTGAACTTGTTCTGAGTTACTTATTACTGTGAAGTAGATTGGGAGTCAGAAGAAGGAATCCTTGTAATAATGAATTAGGAATTACTGAAGTCACTCTCATTCTCGAATACTGAACTAAATTCTACTAAAAGAGAAACTTTTTTTTTTTTTGTACAATACCCCAACCATATTGTTCTTATGTTTCAGTTTGTTTCATTGACAACATTATTATAACTTGTGTAACAGGTTGGGTAAATAGGTTTGCCAATGCTGGTGATGCTGCTGTTGAGATAGCAGGAAACACAGCCTTTCGGGTGAGATTCTGTTACTTTTGTTTGGAATATACACACTTATTAGCTTTCACAGTCTCTGTTGAGTGTGTAGAATCTTTGTTGACTTATTTGATCAAGATAAGTTTTTAATAGAAGACAAAGCTAACACTCCTATTACCTTCGTGTTAGATCATCAGTTGTTGTATAATGTTTATGAAAGGTCAATGATTTTTCATAATTCTGTAAAGTAGGAAGATTTTGGAGCATGGTTTCCAAAATTTTGATTGGGTAAGTTCCTTTTTCTGACTATCTTGGCTTTTTTTTATTGTTGAAGCTGAGGCAAGCAAAAACAGAGATTGTTACAGCAAGCAAAGTGGCTTATCGGTTCCTTTCAGGAATCGCCTCCAATAATTCTGGTAGTAACCCCGATTCCCCTAGCAATTCCACCAGAGGAAGTCCTCGCCTCCAAGCCACTTGGTTCAAAAACCTCATTTCTACGGGGGCCAGACCATCAAGTAGTTCGGATGTAGAGAGTCGAGATGAAGAGATTATGCGGCCTCCACAGCAGCGTCAAGATGCAGAAGCACCACCAGCTCTAAGGCAGAGCCCCGTGCATGGACCATGAAGGAGTTTTCTCCCCAGCATAGTTGTGTTTATATTCAAGAACATGTAGACTAAACTTGAAATTGTTTGTGGGATCAGTGTGTAGTGTAAAAAACTGAATTTGTTGATCACTGCATTAAGTCTTTCTTGTTATTGTAATTGAATTGAACGCCACCCACATGGTATCACAGTTATGTACCATGATTTGCATTGAAGTCGTTGAAAGTAAAAATGAGGTTTAGAGTTCATATGAGATTGATTCAGTCTGCAAAATACTGCAAACTTTTTTTGGTCTTCAGCAATGTTAAGAATTATGCAGTGTTGTAAAAATCCTACTTAGGCGTCAGCCGGCCACCTAGTGTCACCATAATCGGCTGGCTAGGCGGTAGACTAGGCCGCCTAAGCGTTGACTAGACTTTCTAGGCATTGCTTAGTTGGCCGATTAGCTATTGGTGGGTCAAGTTTTTTGAGAAGGGGCTTAAGAACACAGGGCCTTACCCTATTGAGATTATGCATTCTAATCAAATCCAAATATTCAATCTCATACTGCGCAACTCTCCAGCATGGGTTGTCCATCCTGTTTACAGCAGGTTCATTCATTTAAACTAGATGAAACATATAATTTAATTTATTGAATTTCTCATTATATTTAATTTCTACTATTCTGATGAATGCAGTGACATTATAATACAACATTTGACAATTCTCTCACCCACGGAGTCTGAAAATACGGACGACATTGATCCAGGTCCGTTTTCATTGAGTTTTATGTCTCTATCCGTGCTAGCATCAGATATTATATATATAACAACATAATATTGAATATTGTTATGCGGAGGCCGGTAAAAGGCCAAATCCATTAATTAGTAACTAGGAGATTGTTGTACGGAGGTAGGTGCAGGTGCAGGGCCAAGTTTAGCATCTTAAAATTGCCTCTCAAAAATGTGATGTCGGTTTATAAATAAATAAAGTTGCGCATTCGCTAGCTATAACTTTTGGTTGGTAATTGGTAAGCGCTTGATCTTAATAAGTGGTATCAGAGCCAAGTTACAAGTTCGAGGCCAACAAGAACAAAAGGGGGAATTGTATGTTGTTGGGCGTAGGGCAAGTTCAGGACAAGTCCAGCACCCTGCCATACTAGCAAGTGTATTGGCCTGAGGACAAGTCCAACACCATGCCTAGCTGGCAAGTGCATTGAGCTTAGGGCAAGTTCAGCATCCTGCCTAACTGGCAGGTGCATTGGGTTGAGGGCAAGTTCCCTAACTGATAGGTGCGTTGAGTTGAGAACAAGTCCTACACTTGCCTCTCAAAAATTAAATGTGATGGCGTTTGATCCTAACAGGTGTGTTACGTTGTTTTCCAATCCCTGCAGATTCTTGCACAAATGTTTGAATATGGGATAACTACATTGCGTCGGGAGATAACTGTATCGCAGTTGGAATGAGTCCGGGATAGAATATGGCATGCCAACCAAACACCTCTCAATCAAAAGGTTGACTTGCATTTCCCCACGTAGTGCTACCATTGCCATAGGAAGCGAACTCTCAAGTGGGATTCAGGACGTTAGGGCCGAACACATCTTAGCCATCAACACCGAATCCGGCATGAGGATCAAGACCGCCCCTTGCCGAGGCGGCTTCATCAAAGACATCTACGTTAGGAACGTCGAATACGATACGATGAAGTATGTGCTATGGATTACGAGCGATTACAGCAATAATTCCGACGCCAAAGCGCTATCTACTATAAGCGGGATAAGTTACAGTAATATCAAGGCGAAAAACGTGACGATCGCTGGGCATCTCATCGGCTATGAGAATCATCCCTTCACTGGAATTTGTATGTCTAACGCGACGATGGAGATGCACCAGAACTCGGAATTATCATCGGAGGAGAAACAGAAATCGGCATGGAACTGCTCGGATATCAGCGGTGTTGCCAGCTCCGACATGACTCCTAGCCCCTAAAAAGAGTAATGTTGTGTGCAATTTCTCTACTGATCAACTTCCAATCGAGAAAGTTGAGTTCAAGACTTGTCGTGCTCCTCTTAAGCACCTGTAGGCCAACATAGGTTATTTTTCTTTTACAAATGTTACTTTTCGTTTTGTAAAGCGTTTAGTTAATGTGTCGCTTATTTTTTAGCTAGGGAGGCTTGTTTGCATTTGAGTAGCCAGTTTTGGTGTGATACCGATCCCTCGTTTATTTTTCATGCTTTATGTAACGACTTGACGCTTATATAAGCTAAGAGGTTTGGTGGTTTGTTTTAAAAAAAAATGATAAAATTTATATATTTAAAAAGTATATAAAAATATTATTAAATATAAAAAATTAAATCAAAAAATTATTACTTCGTATAAAATACTAAAAAAAAAAAAAAAAAAAAAAATTGACCACAAATCTATATATATATATAAGTAAAATCCTCATTCCCAAATTTTCCCCCCAAAACTTTTGTAGTAAAACTTATTTGGTAAGTAAATGTAAAATGGAAACCCTAATTTTAATTGGTAATATAATAAAAACCATAACTGTTACCCTTAATCATATCTAAACACCTATATATACATCACATTTCTCTTCAATACAAACAGTACCAAGTTACAAAGAATGAAATGGAATATTCTCTGCAACTGCATATCAATGGTGTAGAGAATAGGGAGCTTCGAGAAGAGGACGAACAAGACCCATATTCTCTGCGTGAGGTGTGGCCGCTGAAGCTTCCATATCCAGAAGAGCCGTTGCACCACACTTGCACATTAATTTGGTAAATCTATGTATCATTTTTTCAAAATTTTTATTTTTTATTTTTGATAAAGAATCGAAAATCATACCATTGGTGAAATTTAAAATCTATGTACATATATTTTTTCAAAAAAAAAAAATCTATCTACATATATTATATAAACTATGAATATATATTGATCATATATATAAGCCAGTTCGTTAAACATCAATATTGAGTTTAATATTGTTTCTTTCAATTTTTTGTATTTAAATTTTGTATATATACAACTTCAACTTCAATAGGCTTTATTCAGAATGGTTAGTATCTAAATTTCATAGATTTATCCCAGAATCCTCTTAACATTTTAATTCTATTCTTTTTAGTTATGTGCAATGTTATAAAAATATTTTTATTTTTATTTGCTATTATTTGACCCTTTACTCTTTTTAATTGTAACTCTAACAATATTGCCGAGGAAGAAAGTTGGAGACACCGAGGGAGGAAAAGCGGAGACGCCGATGCTGCGAGATAGAGAGAGATCATGAGAGAAGTTAGAGGCTAAGAGAGTGCAATGAGTGAGGGCTGCAGAGAAGATGGGCAGGGTTAGATTTTGTCTCTGTGTATAAAAATTTGTCTTTAAAAAAATAGGATAACTGTTATTATTTTACATTTAATTTAGATTAATAATTGTTTATTTATGATAAATATACCTTTAATATCTATGGAGTATATTATTAATTATTCTTATCAAATCAACATAATTATTAAATTACAAAATTATATATATGAATAAATAAAGCTCATATCACATTTTTATATATAAAATTTAATAACATTAATAGTTTTTAATAACATTGTATAATTTAATATTTTAAATTTTTAGTATGTACGTCACATAAGTTATAATTTAACATTGTCATACTATTAATTTATTAATTAATTTATTGATAAAATAATTAATAAAGTATAATTGGTAAGAAACTAATGTTATTGCTACTTAGTGTTAATCAAGGAAATAATATCCCATCAGCACGAATATGTACTATATCCCATCCGTCTAACATTAATTAAGGAAATAATATATCGTTATTATGCTAAACTATTATAATGTTATTACTTAATTTATAAGTAAATAATGAATTAATAATTATTATATTATTTTATAAGAAAATAATTAATAATAATAATATACTAATATTAAATATTTAAGCAAGGAATTGATATATATGGTACTTGATATTCATGGAAATCAAAAAGCCATTAATAAGCAAGCAATTGATATATATATATATATATATATATATATATATATATATATATATATGTTATTACATTCATGGCCGTTACCCAAAATCCCCTAGCATATAACATTTTTTTATTGAAAGGACGGGTAGATCCGGGGGAGACACCCCTAGCATATGATATAAGCAATTAATAAAACATAATTGGTAAGAAAGTAACGTAATTTATAAGAAAATATTTTTGTTAAGAAATTAAGTAAAATCCTTACTCCGTATATATAATATAATAACGTAATAACCTACATTTATAAGGAAATAATATACCTGAGTCAAAACATCCACATTGATTTAATAATTTATAAGCAGATAATTTACTTATCAAAAAATATTTACATTTTTTAATTGCTATATATCTCTTGATGTGTATATTATATAACGTTATTACTTAATTTATAAGTAATAATTATTCTATTCTTTTATATGGAAATCTATACTTCTATACTTACCATTAATAAAAGTAAAATCATCTTCTTCAATTTTCCTACTCAAACTTTTGTTAATATTAATTTATTTATTGATAAAAAAATTAATAAAGCACAATTGGTAAGAAAATAACGTTATTTATAACCAAATATTCTATGGTAAGTAAATAATGTAATTAAAGATGGAAATAATTTTGCAATATGTATATATAAAGATGTGTAATTACTAATGACAGAAAATAAAAGTATTCTAATAATTCACTGAGAATGGCCTACTGCTTCTTAAAAATTTTTACAATTTCGGAAACTATTGTATTGGGGTTGCCTTTTTTATTGGTGTATATGTAATAAAAAATGTAATATAGAAATGGTTAATTAATAAATATCTAAATAATTTATAGTATTCAATTTTTGGTACTAAACAAACTTTTTTTTTATTGTCATTATTAGTTATTCCTTCACAATAATTTAAACTTTGCCATTTCATTTTTTTAGAAAACGAGCCATTGTGTAATCATAATAATACACAAGCATCGTTATTGCGATCAAATATATCGGTCGATAATGCTCAACCATCATTACAATCAACTATTGGTGCACCATCAGTTATATCAGTCACCCCAACAATGATTGGTAAATATAATTTTGTATCACAATCATTTGTAAGTATTTTACTGTATCATTTTTAAATATCTTAACTTCATATAAATAATTGCAGTGACAGGTAATGAACCGTTGTATAGTGGATTTATGATTTCTTCTCCAAGAACACCGATTAATATATCCATCAATGGTATTCAATTTTAACGTTCACATTATTTGTAATAACTTTTACATTTTAATAAATACAATTGTTTTTTTTTTCTTACAAATTATTGATTACTTACAATTAACATGTTCATATTAATTACCATGCATTTATTTGTTATTATTATTTTCAAAATTATTACAATTCAGAGACTCATTCATATTTCTGTCTAAGTAGAATCTATTCTATGAGAATTATTTAAACACTTATATTTTTACGAATCTTTTTTTGCAATAGTTAATGTTCATCAAAGTTTGTTCGAAGATAATCATGTGGCCACCAGAGGAACACCATTGAGTGCAATCACAAATGGTATATGTTATATTTAAATATCATTTTATCTTTCAATACTATAGAATTTTTTAATATCATTTTATTTAATTAACCATTGTTTGATTTGTACGCGTTAACTCTATTTGCAGTTGCTAGCAACCCAAATTTATACGCATTGAACAGTGATATTCGATCGTCCACCATTAGCTGATGTATCAAACGGTAATTTAGATTACACGGTTCACGATTTTTACAATCTTGGTTATTCCTATTTTATTAAAGTGCAATAATTAACAGTTAATTATGTTTTTTAAAGTGCAAAAAGCACCACATCATCATTCTAATAGTGGTTTGTGGTCAATTGTGAGAACTTCCAGTACAACATCGTCAAGAACAAAATACGGATTTCAAACAATTCGTATCTGAAAATAACGGATATGGTCATTTTTTATGAACTCACAACTCTTAGATATGTTCAATTTCATCAAACAACCAATAATGTGTTAATAATAAACTATTTATGTAATTGGATTCCTATTTGGACCTTGGGGATGCTGCTCATTTATGTAATTATTGTGGTGCCTTATTCTGGCGACACGAGCGCTCATTTCTGTAAACTTTTTAAATCTCATGTAATATTTAATAACACAATGCCTTATAATATATGGTAATAGTATGTTGTGATGATTATTATTTGATTTTATAATTTTTTAAACATTTTGTAGAATAAAGTTATTTAAATTTTATGTCATGCATGGAAATGAATATTAATTCGTTTTATGAATGAAAAAAAAATGAATATTACACACAAGAATCTATTATTAGTATTCTGTTAATAATTGGTATGGGAATCAGGTCAAATGAAAAAGGAAATTAATATTAAAAATTCATTGCAAATATAATACAAGTTTTCCCTTCAAAAAAAGTAGTAACTACCAAATGAAATATTATGAAAGAAAAAAGAATGAAGAAAATATGAAATGAATATATTCATATTTCACTGGAAATATAATCAGCAAATTATATTATTATAATTATATTAATTATTTATGAAGGAAAAAGGAAAAGAATATATTAATATTTCACTGGAAGCATAATCAGTAATTATATTTTTATAATTATATTATTTTTTAGTTATATGAAAATAAATATTAATACTTTTTATGAACGAAAAAATAAATAAATATTACACATGGGAATATGTTATTAGTAACCACCAAATGAAATATTAAGAAAAAATTATGAAGAAAAAAGGAACGAAAATCAATTTTAATTCTTTTTAGGAAGGAAAAGGAAATGAATATATTCAAAAGGAAATAAAATACTAGGGAAAACAAAATGAATATATTAAAATTTTACTGGAAATATAACACAGTTTTTCCTACCAAAAAATTAGTAACCAACAAATAAAATATAAAAAAAAAAATTATGAAGGAAAAAAATATGGCAATCAATATTTATTCTTTGTATGAAGGAAAAAAGAAATGAACATATTCAAAAGGAAATGGAATATTAGAAAACGAAATGAATATATATTAATATTTCACTGGAAATATATAATCGGCAATTATATTATGATAATTATATGAATTAAATAATAATTAATTAATTATATTAATAAATAGTAATAATTAATATTTAATATTTAATAATTATAGTATAGACAAATTGATATTGATATGTATTTCCTGAATATAAAATGATCACAAACTCATTTCTTTTCTACCATTATATACTTTTAATTCTTCTCTTATATTTCTCAACTTTCTCTTTATTGTTTTGTAATGAAGTCAAATTTTGTCACTGCCTCTGATCTATCTTTCAAGACAAGGAAACGCTTTATAGACCTTCAGTTGACGCGTTGTTATTTGTCCAGAGAATATCAACGCATAGCCGTCAAGGCGTCAACCACCAAACTCTAGAGTGCTTATTTCATGACTCTAAGGTACATATTGCATTTATATATTATTTAAATATCACTTTATTTTTGTGATATTACATTGAATATCAATTAATATTAATATTTATGTTGTATGTTGTATATTCTATACAAATAATTTATATAACTGAGTTGCAAGTTAGACAACGAGCTAATTAGACCAATTAATACAAATCATAAACACTGCTATATAAAATCTCTAAAGTTTCAGCACCGGATGCGTACATCTACACGTTGGCTATTAATTGAATAATTATTTGTTCGAATTCAAGCATTAATAACATCAGAAAACATAATCGATCCAACTCAATTATTCAATTGCACTATATAATATTTGGTGTTTTAATTTAAATAATTATATAGCAATCCAAATACTTTTAATATATTACAACAAATCCATTCCGTGCATCGCACGGGGGCAAATACTAGTAGTAGATAAATAAAATGAGGGCGTAGGAGTGTAAAATTAGGGTCCTGTTTGGAATGAACTAAAATAGAGAGAGAACCCAAAAGAAAGTCGCCATAGCCATACCGGAAGCAGAGAACACTTAAAGCAAACTCATATGGTGCCTTTGAATCCGAACCCACCCGAAGGCTTCCACTAGGATCCGATGGGCATGGCCGTTGCGAACCCGGACTCCATTTCCAGCCCCACCGCTGTCAATTCCAACGCGCTGCCGTCGTCGTCGTCGTATTCCGATGATCCGACGAAGAAGGTCCGTAAACCCTACACCATTACCAAGTCTCGCGAGAGCTGGACCGAGCCCGAGCACGACAAGTTCCTCGAAGCCCTCCAACTGTGAGTTTATATTGTATATGTATACACATTTGTATATTTGTCGATCATTGTTCTATTCTTCTCATTTTTCGATTTAGGGCTTTGGTGACCAATCAAGGGATGTGAGTTCTAATTAATCAATCAGTTCAGGGAAGCTAGGACTGTTTCTCAAATCTGAATGCTACTCTAATTTCTTGGTCTTTTAGGTTTAATTGCTGGTTTGCACGTCAATGATATACTCTATTACCTCAACCGTGTGATGAGGAATGGCGGTAGACATTTTCAGTGTAAAATTTGTCTTCATAGTTTTAGAAAGAACTTAAGAATGTCTTCTTGTGTTTCAACATTGGAGTGTAAACAATTCATATTTGATAGTCTTTTCAGAATAGATTGGCTGAAGTGTGATAAATGTTCAGTCAGCTGAAGAAAGTAAATTCTGTGGTTGGAACTGTAATTATCTTCTGTCATTCATTACATACAGATTTGATCGAGATTGGAAGAAAATTGAGGCATTTGTTGGATCGAAGACTGTAATTCAGGTAGTATTTAGACCTTTAGTTGTCCAAAAGAAAAAAAAAATCATATCATCCTGATTACAGCTTGTACTTTATTTATTTCTATTCTGCATTACCATTTGTTCAATACTCACAGTTCATTATCCATTTACTTCTGCAGATACGTAGTCATGCTCAAAAGTATTTTATGAAGGTACAAAAGAGTGGAACTAATGAACATCTACCTCCACCACGGCCAAAGAGGAAAGCCACTCATCCTTATCCTCAGAAAGCCCCAAAAAGTGGTAAGTGTGTTTAATTTGCTGTATTGGAATTGTCATGGGCATAAGTCAGGAATGTTTCTTGTTCTTATCTGTTATACTTTTCCAGCACCAACCGTGTCATCACTGTCAAATTCTTTTCAAACACCATTAGCATTTCCTGATGCTGGACTCACACCGAAGCCTGATCCTTCTTTGATACCCATAGTTCCTGTAACAGGTGCAGCATTGCCACCTTGGAAAGACTACTCTGTGCAAGCAGGCAGTTCAAGTGTGAAAAAAGGTTCCATAGTTGCAATGGGTTTAATTTAGTGCCATTCTTAATTGCTATTGTCTCACTTAGTTGGCATAGATGGAGATTTACTTAAAAAACTTATTTTTATTTTTTATTGTAGATAATATGTCATCAGTAGGACAAGCTCATGTCTATACCTACTCTAGCAGTGGTAATGAGGGTGCTCCTAGTGAATTGACAGATCAGGGAGCTAATGGATCTTCAATGAAAGGTGAATCAAACTAATCATGTTTGTTCATTTTGGGTTTGGGGTTTAAAATACATATAAAGCCTATGTATTTAATAACTAAAGTTACCAAATAGCTAACTATTTTTTGGTGTTGTGGGTGGGCATATCTGAAGTGTTACAGCAGTTTTAATAGTGCAAAATTTGCTTTTGTTTATACAACAATGTACTGAAGATATCCCACTAGTAGTTTTTTTGCTTGGCAGTGTTGTAAAACTCAGCCTAGGCAGATTCTATGAGAAAAGATTCTATGCACCTTTTTATGAGAAAAGATTCTAAATGAGAAAAGATTCTATGAGAAAAGATTTTATTTTATTTTATTTTATTTTATATATATATATATAAAATTTTCCTTCATTCTGGGCAGTTGATCTAATCTCACCCCATTTTTCACTTGGAAGTTCCTTCGCACGTGAACCATTCCCTATATATATATATATATATACCCAATGGTGTTATTGCCATTTAAATTTCTTACATGCATAGAATCTTTTCTCATTTAGAAAGGATCTAATTTTTGAACCATGAGTATATGGTATTTAGTATTCTTTAAGTTGTGGTAGTAAGGTTAGTGGTGATTGCTAATGGTGTTGAGTGTTGTTTCATGTTCAATGCTTACACTCTCAAAAGTTACATTTAGTATTGTGTTATCCTGTCTGTTACTTCACATGAATATAAGTAGAAGAAAGGGTATCATTTGTAGCTGTACTAGTTCCAAGTGCAATTATTTAGCATGAGGGCAACAGGGTTCTGGCGGCTTTGATTATTTATTTGCCTAGGTGTTCATGGAACATTTGCAAATAATTTGTTCTTAAATACAGCACATCATGCAGTTAATTTTGAGTGACATTCGTTTTGTTTGATGTACCACAATAGTTCTAATGTAATCTTGTCCCTGCTAACACCTTACTTTTTGTTTTGGCTTTATGCAGTGTTGCCTGACTTTGCTCAGGTATACAACTTCATAGGCAGTGTTTTTGACCCAAATGTGACTGGTCACCTGCAGAAGCTAAAGGAAATGGACCGCATTGATGTTGAAACAGTATGCACCTTGACTTGTACTTTAAACCTTTATGACTTGTTGGCCAATAAAATGAAAATGAAAATGAAAGTACCCCTCACATTCGGGCCATACAGCTGACTTTCCTATGAAGTATTGCTCATCTTAAATTTTAGGTTTTGTGATACTGCTTATGGAATTCTCAGGATCTTGTATTCGTTCATATTAGGATGGAGTTTTTTCCCTAATAGGGATACTTTTAAACTTATTTCCCAAACAGGAATACTTTTAGCCTCATCATAGCTTGTCACCTGCCACAGCAAACACCTTGCCATGTGATCTTCACCCCATCATCAATGCTATTTTATTTTATTAAATAATAAGAGATCACAAATTAATTTTATTCTAGGGTTTAGTACAACATATTTTTAGTAACATCCAAACTAATTTTATTTAATTAAACATTGTTTCCAAATGTTTACAATTTTAGAATTAAATTAATTTTTTTAAATATTATTTCCAAATGTTAATTAAATAAAGTTAGTTTGAAAGTTTTTAAAAGTAAAGTTCTTAGAACAAAATTATTTTTAAAAATTGTTTTTAAATTAATTAAATAAATAAAATAAAAGACATTAATATTAATAAAATTAAAAGGGTTGTAGTACTGTTTCGTTTCCAAATAATTCAGTACTTGATAAAATAAATGAAATAGTTCTAAACTGGTTAAAAAGCATTGTTGTAAACTGGTTATAGTTCTAAAATATTATATGAATGACATGGATTCGATTATTACTAATAACATTTTGATCTCTTATTATTTAATAAAATAAAATAGCATTGATGTTGTGGCGAAGATAACATGGCAAGGTGTATACTGTGGACAATGTAGAAATAGTGGATGATGAGGGTAAAAGAATCCTGTTTGGGAAATAAGTTCGCCTGTTTCATATAATATCTCTAACTAATTGCTTTAACACATTCCTCTTAGTATTTCTTTGTAATTCATTACCCCATCAAAAAAAAAAAAAAAGAAAAATTAAACATCTGTTCTATATTCCATTCACTTGTAGATTCAAGTCTGCCTTACAGGAAGCAAATATTCATGTTGGTTTTAGTTGGTTGAATGCTGTGAAATAATGTTTCATAATCTTTCTCAAGTCCCTTTTTTGCTTGGATCCTTTTCAGGTGTTGTTACTGATGAGAAACCTCTCCATCAATCTAACAAGGCCAGATTTTGAGGATCATGTAAGTGCAAAATATATCAAACATGTGATTCTAATTTTCTAATAGCTATGAATTGGGATCCTCCGAAGCCATGAACTTCCCTCTTCTGATTTGAACTCTTCTGCTTCTAATATTTTTGTACCTTCCTCAATTGGTATACATGGATTCTAGTCTACCAAGCCTGGTAAATCCTCTATCAATAATGAAATCTTGTACAACAGTAAACCTGTGATGACCATTTTATTAAAGGCGATGAACATTATAAAGACCATTACTTACATTTGTGATGAATATTACATATCATAAACATTTTCTTGTGGGGTGCACACAGCATGGTGGAGTGGGGTGGTGTGGCCCGTGATATAATTTGCACTGTCCTTTTAATGTGGTGGTAATTGCCTAGAGTTGCTTTGATAGTTTTAACTTATTTATGCAGAGGAGGCTGCTTTCTTCATATGAAGATGTGGCGAGTGATGGGGGTGGAAATAAGGTATTATGTGAAAAAAAATCTCAGAATGCTGCTCGAATTTGGTAAAGCCACAATTGGTCTATGTTGCATTCTGCCCCCGTTTGCAGTCAGGAATTTTTTCAAGTTGCAAAATGGTTTAACACTTTAACCTTGGTACCTAAAGAAACCAATTTATGCAAGGGCCATGATTTTCTGGCGTGCATATACAGTTTTGGTAAAATTGCATCTGTGCAATTAAATGAGTGTACATTCTGTAAAAAATAAAGAGAGAGAGAGAGAGAGAGAGAGAGAAAGAGTGTGTGTGTGTATACTGCAGGCATCTAAAATGTAAATCTGATTTGTGTAAATTCAAGTTTGACAATTACATAATCCAGCTTTTGCAATGCTTGCTTATTTGTAAGCCTGTGTAAATTATTGAGGAGACAATAGAAAGTTTGAAAAATATTGGCTTCAAGTTTCTATCCATTTTCTTGATTTGTGAATTTGCCAGCTGCGGCCAGGCTTGCCACCCATCATTATTGTGTGGATCATGGTCCACACAGCTGTATGGACTATACTATTATTGATGATCCACACAGCTGTATGGACTATACTATTATTGTGTGGATCATGCTCCACACAGCTGTATGGACTATACTATCAAATACGGAGTATATATATTCAGTACACAAATAATGTATTTTTAGTATATTAAAAATGTATTTTTTGTTATGATTCATATAGCATTATGTGGACCAACAAAGATTTGGTTGGTAAGAATAAATGGAAAGGCATTAAAACGGACAGGTTTGTAATATCTGGTTTGTCCAATATGCGAGATAGTTTCATTTTAGATACACTGTAATTTCATTTTGTTATAAACACACAACAAATATGAAATTTGTTAAAATGTAACGGCGGCCGTTTCTTTACTTAAAGAAACAGCGTCATTTTCGGACCATGATCGACAGTATAACAACCAATAATAGAATTAAAAGAGAGGAAACAACAAACAAAATGCAATAAATAAGTTTTTGTGTAGTTAAAATATATATATATATATATATATATATATATATATATATATTTTTTTTTTTTTAATTTTAAATAATTTTTGAAATATAAAAAGTGATTGCAACAAATATATTTTCTTTTCTTTTTTTTTTTTTTATTACAAAGGACAACGAGGCTCAAAACCTAGACCTCCCACATAAGGGAACAATCCAATACCAATGAACCATAAGCCACTTGGTACAAATATATTTTCTTTAACTATGAATGTTCGAAAAAATGTGATTTTTTAAACAAATATTTCAATATCTTTCAATTATTGCATATTCTGATGAATGCCTAATCCATATATAATATATACAGATAAATTTTAATTTTAGTCTTGACTATTGTGATTGTGGCTTGTTTGACCACCATTAGCTGTTAGTTAAACAGCTAATATGAGTGTTTGGTTAATTAGTTTTTGTAACAGTTTATTGTTGTAAAACGCTAAAATTCAAAAAGCTACTTTGAGAATTTTTTTGATCAACTTTTTGAGAAAATAAATTATTTTCAACCATACACCTCCCAATAACTTAAAAACACGAGACTGTGTAGACGAGTTTAGCACTCCTATCTACCAATCTCGTCGCTCTCATTGTCTCTTCACAGTATGAGCCCGTTACCTAGTATCGTAAATGTAATTAGTAATGAGACGTGATTACCGATTAGTGTTCATGGGCTTCCTGAGCCCGTGAACATATGTTTAATTTTTAATAATAATAATAATAATAATAATAATAATAATAATAATAATAATATTATTATTATTATTATTATTATATGTTAAAATAACATAATACATGCATACCTTAAAAGTCTTTTTACATGTAATTAGCTATCAGCTAATAATTAATTTACAAAACATATTTCTACAACCATTTAATACTATCAACTAGTCAAACCCTAACCCAATCAACTAACAACTATCAGTTAAGTCAATATGCTATTATCTATTTGCTATTTGTCAAACACCCCCCATTGTCTTCAACAGGTACGAAGGGAGAGGGGGGGGCAGGGGGGGTAGCCGCCCCCTCACCCCACCCCCACCCCATATATATAGTATTTATATGTATATATGTATATATAGTACATGTTTTAGTATTAGTATAAAAAAAACTACAAAACATTAATAAGAAGTGAGTTAGAGTAGGTGGTAGAGCACAACTTTAGTAATAATAAGGTTAAAGGTTCCAATCTTAGCATCAACATAGTTTTAAAATTCTTTTTTAATAGCTTTAATTTTTTAATATTACACACACACTCTATAATAAGATGTGTAATTTATAATGTGTTTTCTATTCAAATTATTTTATTAATTATGTTTCATATTTTGTTATAAATATTTTTATAAAGTTTTGATGTGTTTTATTTTTCGTCCATATCCAACAATATTTACAATTATATTTCTTAGGTAGTTTATTTATTTATTTTTAAATTATCTCTTTTGTTTTAATATTTTGCCTTTTCTAGAAGAACTTTCTGAATCTGTCTGTACTGTTTCGCCCCCCTTCAACCGAATTTCTGGCTCCGTCCCTGATTTTCAAGCATAAAAATATGAGAGAGGAGCATTGGTCATGCACCACGCGGTAGGAAAGCGGTAGCCTTATTTCATTCTCAAAGTAGAGAAGAAAATGAAGTTTTGTAGAGTTAAAAACAAAGTTTAATGAAGAAAATAATAATAGAATGATGTCGTTTTAATGCTTGGTTAATACAACTACATGGATCATGATTTACAATAAAATTTGCCCGATTTGTAATGGTAGAGCTACGAAGCATTATCCTATTTAAAAATATATAAAAAGGTAATTATTAATTATGCACGTAATTATTTCTCATTATTCTCTAACTTAAGAAAAACTATAAATTTCAGTACAACATTTAAAATTTAAAATACATTCCATATTTTCAAGCTTTCAGTTATATTACAAAGAAAGAAATTTATTTTTAATTATCAATTATTATAGCATTGCCACATTTCGTTATATATTCTTTTTTTAATTTTGTCACATTAATTTTCATTTGCTTGTCATAATGATTTCTCTTTTTTAAAAATTTTATTTTTAATTATCAATTATTATGACATTGTCATCATATATATATTTTTAATTTTGTCACATTAATTTTCATTTGCTTGTCATAATGATTTATCCTTTTAAAAATTTGTTATTCCATCATTTAAAATTAAAATTAAAATCTTAGATTAATTGTGATGACAAATAAAAATTAAGAATGTAATGAAAACAAAATAAAGCTAAATATGACAATTTTATAATAGTGGAAAATTAAAAGTGAAATTTGCAGTAAGTTATGGTCGACTGACTGGTCGGCAATCGGAAGTCAATCGGCAACTAACAACTACTTCTCCTTTGGTTTCGCTCCGCTCCGTTCTCAGGCGTAAATTGATGTAAGTTCTAATGCCGGGTGGGCGGGGTGGCACGACGATGAGAAAGAAATCTACCAAGAAATATGAGATTCCGAATCCCCAACAGCCCCAGATGGTTTCTTCTCCTTCTCCCTCCTCCTCTCTATTCAATTATAGAAAAATCTCTCTGTCCATTCTGGTTGTTGTGGTTGTAAGTTTGGTAGCTCTCTTAAGCTTTTCGTCGAACAAGGATCGTGCGTTTACATCTTCAAGTCCTCCCCTCTCGGTTCAGCCTCAGCTTTACGTTGTTGAAGTAGTCAACGTGTTCCCTCACGACCCCAATGCTTTCACTCAGGTCCAATTTTCAGTTTTTAATGAATCTTTGACGGATTTAAACTTATCGCAGGAAAGGAATTAATTCTTTGTTATGAATTTATTCTGCTGATCATGGTTGCATTTTGTCTTCTCTTCCTCCGTTTTTTTTAAGAATATGTTTGGAAGGATGGATGGTAATTGCAATTACATTTTAGGTTGTGGGCACATTTTCTGCATATTTTGGCATTCGATTACATGTTTCTCCAAAGTTGCGTTTTTGTTTCAGGGGCTTCTATATTCTGAAAACGACACCTTGTTTGAGTCAACTGGGCTTAATGGGCATGTGAGTTTGCCATTGTACTTTGATTTGAAATCTGAGATATGTTGGTCTTTGAGGATGACTTTATTTCATAAGTTGACATTGTTTGCTATTAATATTGGCAGTCGTCTGTTCGGAAAGTTGCTCTTCGGACTGGTGAGGTACATTATGTGGATGCAATTCTTCAACTGTCAATGAACCGAAATTTGTTTCGTTTCTTCTGATGCTCACATCTTAGTAACAGTGACCATAGGCGTATACTTTGTTCACAGGTGCATACTATTCAGTCATTGCAGTACTCTGACTTTGGGGAGGGCTTAACTCTTCTTGATGATAGGTTTGTAAAAAAAAATTTAATTTATTTCACATTGCATATCATCTTTGTCTGGCAAGTTACAAAATTTATGCTGAAGAAGCAACTGCCTTAATTTGAATCCATTGACGTAATTTCTCAATGTTGTTGATTTACCAAACCAAGAAATCGGAGTACCCCTTGCTTTTTCATTGTCAGCATATTTTGATTTTGTAATTCAATATTGGCTGGTAATTCAGTTGTTCCACTTTGTAATAACATTATTTTTTGCTATTATGAGCATCTGGTATTGGACTAACTTTAGGTGGTATTGATATTCCTTGTGTATTTCGGTTTCTCTCCACTTAGGAATATAATGTCAACCTTTTGCTAATCCAGTTTTCCACTTTGTAATAACATTATTATTTATGCTTTTTTGAGCATCTGTCGTTGGACTATTGATATTCCTTGTGTATTTCGATTTCTCTCCACTTAAGAATATAATTTCAGCCTTTTGCTAATCCAGTTTTCCCACTTTTTAATAACTTTATTATTTTATGCTTTTATGAGACTAACTTTAGGTGCTATTGATATTCCTTGTGTATTTCAGTTTCTCTCCACTTAGGAATATAATGCCAACCTTTTGCTTCTTTAGTGTGTTGCTATGCTCATTTCATTTCTAATTTACTTTCAAGAGTCAACATTTTGCTTAATTATGCTAATCTAGGTTGCAGTTTTGATGTTGTAATGTCCTGTATTTTGTAGGCTGTTTCAAGTAACTTGGAGGCAGAATACTGGTTACGTATATGACCGATATAATTTTAGCAACGTTTGTTCTTCATCCTTTTTAATTTGTTGCTCAGTTTCATGTTTTATTATTTATTATTTATAAATGAACTTGAAATATCAGTCATACCATTGCCTTTTTATTCACCTTTTACTTCCAAGATTCTTTAAGCTTGAATTCCTTCTGCAGTTTGAGTCATTTACTCATGAAATGGAAGATGGCTGGGGATTGGCAACGGATGGAAAAGTTCTGTATGGAAGTGATGGAACCTCAGCACTGTATCAGATTGATCCCCAGACTATGAAAGGTATTGGCATTTTAAAGCAGAAGTGAATCCAATTATTGCCTTGCT